GGTTCCCAAGTTGTCTCCACCTCAGTACTGATGTGGCTCGACGATGCTTAACTTCTCAAATCGGACGGGATGAGGTGCATTCATCGTGATATGGCCGTAGCCATCAAGTACCAAAAATACTAATGATAAACAGTCAATCTGTGATTAAGGTTAATGGATTTTTGATATTAAAGACGACTATCATCCAGTCATTTTCTGCACATCAATTTCCACTTTAATCTTTAGAATAATTCAATCGCCAAATTGAATCCACATTTAATACTTTACAATTTCAGAATGTTGCCATTTCGAAAACAGTTCCAACAAAAAAAAATAATGACAAACTACAAGAAGGAAGCTTGTGATTTTTTCGATACGTCCAACAAACAGATCAAAGCCTTTGATATCACAGATCCACTGAATCCGAAACAACAAATTTCTGGATTTATTTGTAAGAAGGATGGTCCATTCGGAGGATCTCTTGTGATCACTCATGTAAATAATCAAAAATTGGATAAATTACAAAAGATTTATGGTGTTCCCAAGTTGTTGTACCCATATTCCGATAAGAAGAAGAAGAAGAGAGATGATGATGAGGATGTTCATGATGGAGAGAAGGAAGAAAATAGTGCTGATAATGAAGGAGGAGAAGAATTGCAATTGTCTGGATTAAAGTACAAGGAGAGTTTTAAAACTGATGATAAAGTGACAAATTTCGTACTTTCGAACAAGTAGGTATACAGATTAATTTTCAAAGAAGAATTTAAATTATTCAATTAATTGTAAAATAGGTGGAATGGAACAAATGTATTATTCTTTAAATATTATGATAAGAATGGAAATTTATTTGTCTCTGCCAAAACAAAGGGAAGTCCTACTTTAACTGATACTCAATATGGTGATTTTTATGCATTGACCTTAGAGGCATTGTATGGATCGAGTAGTGACAGAAAGTCAATTGATGTAAAGAATCCACCTGCCATTTTGAAAGAATTTATTACTAGACCTGAAATTCAATCTCTATCGTGTGAATTGTGCGGAAAGAAAGAACCTCATCTGGTCCTGTATGATTTTGATATTGATCTCAAACCACTATTCATGCAACATTTAAATGGAGGATTTATTGAACCAGTCATGAATACTGAATCCAATCAACAATATGAATTCAATGGATTTGAAAAGATGACAGAAATTTGTAAATCAAGACAAGTAGCCGACTTTATTAAGAATGAGGAATATAGAAAGATGAACAATCTGGAAGTAAGATATGAGTATAATCACTTTATCACTGAAGGAGCTGTTTTATACATTTGTTGCAAACCGTCTTCAATTCATCCTTCTATTGAAAGTAAGGAAAATTGGCCAGGTGTCACCAATAGAAGATTGTACAAAATCAAACCAAAAGATATTGAAGGTTAGTAATCAATTATAACTATTTACATAGTTCAATAACTGCCAAACAGAGGTTCACTGGTCTGTATTTGGAGACAAACAAAAAGAATTGGTCAATATTGCAATCAAGAAACTTCTTCAAAGAGAAAAGGACTTTTCCAAAGAATCTCTGATTGAAGAATTAGATATTGGACCAAAGGAATTCTCACGATTCCAACACGATCTAATGCAATATGCAAGAGTTCAATATAATGCAATGGCAAAGACCACCTCCTCATCTTCTTCCAAATCAACCAAAAAGAAGAAGAAAAAGTAAACCTTTATTTCAAATTATTCCTTACCAATAGGTAATATTAAATCTCGTTTTCACTTACTTCATTCTCTTTTTTTTCTCCTCATTTCATTCTATTTATAACCCAAAAGCCTTTAAAATGTTCGCTGATGTTTAAAGCACGGCCAAATTACAAAATTTAAAAAAAAATCGCAAAAAGCATTGTAGCAACTTGCGAATATTTTTTGAACCCAACACAAACCGTCCCTACACTCTCTTTAAACTCTCACCTAACAAGAATTTAGTATCAACTCTCTGTTGTAGTAGTTTTTGTCAAGAATAGCAACAACAAGAATTTCTTTGTTTCAACCTTTCATTCAGCTAGAAACAACTCTGATCACAGTGTACATAGTACAACAATAGTGAAACAACAACTAGTTCGGAATTTTACTCATTGTGTGAATCAAAACCAACATGTCTTCTGTTTCCAACCACGAAAAATTAGTGGCTGACTTTTATCGTTCTCTGATTGATGAAGTTGCTGCCGGTATTCAAGAAATATTTGTTGAGGAAGGTTACAACTCCGATGTTATAAATGAATTGAAGAAACTTTGGGGAGACAAAATTGGAGAAAGTGGAGCTGTACCTGCTTGGAATATTACCCCTGGACAATCTAGTTCGAGAGGTTCAAATAGAGGTGCTGCTGCTTCGAGAAATGCAGCCAGATCAAGAAATCAAAATGCAGCTGCTTCTTCAAGTAACACTGCAATTCCAACACAATCTTCTCAGCTCGGAACTCAATCCACCCAAATCAATCAATCACAAGATATCCTCGGTGGTAACCATGCTCCAACATTACCAATTGTTGCTGGAACTCCAAGTGAATTTATGCCTCCACAACCAAGAATTCCACCTCCATCCTTTTCAAATCCAAATTTGGGTCCACCTCCAGGTTTTTCTTCTGGCATTCTCAGTGGGGCAATGCCAAGTCTGCCTTCAATTAGTCCTGGTTTACCTTCAATTTCTCCACTCTCATCTGCACATCATCATAACATTTCCACACCAACAAATCCACTCTACAATACACCAAGTAATAGTAGTGGTGGAGGCATCTTATCGAGTAGTACTGGAGGTGGCATCTTGGCAAGTGGAGGTGGTCTTTCACTTCCTTCTCTACCTGCTGCAACAACTCCATCATCATCTACACCAAACTCTATTTTCAGTAGCACAATTTCATTACCTCCACCAGTAACTCCAATTCAATCACCTTATGGTATGCCTAATATTCCACCTCCATCCTTTTCAACTCCAAAATCTGATTTCATGGCCTCTAGTCCATATCTTCATTTGGAAGACCTGAAAGTTACATGCCTCCTGTCTCTTTTAGTTCAAATCCAATTTTGGGAAGAAATCAATCTCCTCTTAGCTTACCACAAGCTCGTGAAAATACTCTCCCAAGTATTCAATCTCCACAATTTGGCCAGAATTCTCTTCCTTCCATTGGTTCAATGTTACCTCCAGCTTACTCACCAAATCCATATGGTACACCATTCAGTTCTTCCTCAATAGAATCACCTGCTTACACTAGTCCTTTGGATACCAACAAGAGATTAAGGTTGGATCCAAATTCTAATGATGCAAGACTAGGCAATAATAATAATCCTAACTTTAGACAATATGATGGTGCAAATGATGACGACGACGAAGACGATGAAGACGATGACTCTGAAGAAGATGAAGAAGAAGAGGAACCATCTAAGAGTGCCGCTTCCACTGGAGAAGAAGAATTAGGATCTGATGATGACGTTGAGGATGATAAGGATCCTGATACCCCTAACATTATTCTTGCCCAATATGAAAAGGTCACTCGTCACAAGAATAGATGGAAGTGTACTCTCAAATGTGGTATCATGCACTTGGATGGCAAAGATTACCTCTTCAACAAACTCACAGGAGATTTCGAATGGAAATAAATAATTTATTGTTAGAATGAAATACTCGTTTAAAATTTGAAATAATTCTTGTTAGCAGTTGTCACATTGACATAATTTCGAATAATGTCAAAAACTTGAGCTCCTGTGAATCTGCCTAAGGAGCCTTGAGAAAAGACTTCATCGAATGATTTTGTTGAGTCAGTCAACTCTGGATATTGTTCCAAGTTGAGATAATTGCCAGAAATAATTAATGGAACTGGTTCATAACTATGATCCTTGTAATAGCAAGGTGTAGAGTGATCTCCAGTAATGACAAATACTACTCGTTGTTTTCTCTTTTCAAATTCATCCATAAGCATACCAATCATTTGATCTGATTTTTCAATAAATTCCTTCTTTAAAACAAAATTTCCATCATGACCAGTATCATCAACTGCCTTAATATGACAGAAACCAAAATTAAATTCATCACCATTCACCAAATGTTCCAAAAATCCTTTACCCTTCTTGGTTAAATTGGTACGATAATCTCCACTTGCACCTTCGACTTTTTTCAATTCCATACCAACACTCTTGCCCAGACCAGCAATGATAGCAGTTGGAGCAACCAACATACCTCTCAATCCTGGATGTCTCTCTGAGAATGGTGGTACATCTATACAAACACCACAACCTCTCAATAAGACTATATTGGCTTCATTCTTTCCTTCTTGTTTTCTCTGTTTGTTAATTTCATGTTTAGAGAGTTGTTCATAGATAAAGTGTGAAAGATCATTGACGAGATCACTTGTTCTTTTAGCTTTTTCCAATTCCTCTCCTTTGAGTCCCTTAACAGGTTCACATTTTACAAGTTCCAAATCATCCACAAGTGGATCAGTTCCAGTAATGTCACCACTCAAATTCTTTCCGCTCACCTTAACTCCACATCTGTGTTCTGTTGCATATTTTATAGAGACTGTACAATTATGTTTGGCATTGAACCCCTTCTCTTCACATTGTTGTTGAAGATAGTCACAGAGAATTGGTCCCATCTCTTCAAAATGTCTATCTGCTCTTCTCAATTCAACAATATTGGTTTTTGAATTCCATGTTGCAAAATTACTCTTGAATGCAATATCACCTGGAGACATGTCAAGACCTGCTCCGATAGTTTCAAAACTTCCTCTTCCCTTATAGTGTCTATTATAATAATATAAATAATAACATGACAGTATTGAATTGGAAAATAAGAAATAATTAATAATAAATTATTGTTCATGAGTATAGAATTGGATAATAATAATATTCAGATGGATTACGTTCAATGTAATTCAAAATTCAGAGTAGATATTGTTGTCCGTAATGATGTAAATATATTAACAAATTATATTGTCAAATAATAACAATAATAACTATTTAACAAACTACTATTCGAAGGTTAAATCAACTTACAATCTCGGATCATAACCAAAGATACTCATGTGCGCAGTATCACTACCACAAGCCAATCCAGGTTGAACAGGATCCATCAAGCCATTTACACCACAAGCTTTTTCCGAATAATAATTTCAATTAATTTCCAAATAATTATTAATCCAATAATTAGTTATCAACATTATAAATTAATATGATTAACCATCCAAGCAATGTTATTATTATTATTATAATTTAAATAATCAATAAATTGATGATTTAATAATCCTCTTACCTGCCAAACGATCCATGTTCGGAGTTTGAGCACTTTGCAATGCAGTCTTCTTTCCCAACTCTTCAATATTAACCTCTCCAATACCATCAATCATAACAAAACAAATCTTTATCTTGTTCTCATCGACTGAAGAGAATGTTGCATGGAGTCCTTGATCGTTTTGCATTTTTTGATTGGTTGCAGGAAGTTTTAATGTTCATCCTCCTTTCCCTCCTCAACATCGTTTAAGGAAGGCTGCTATTAGAACCAATGGGGAAGAGAATTGGAGTAGATTGGAATTATGAATGTGATATTGAGAATGTTGTAATTGGTTGGAGTAATTAATAATTGGTGTTGGTTATTGTTGGTTCAATCATAATGTGAAACAGTTTGAAATGTATAAAAGTGGTTTGATACTCCATCATGAAATTGAATTCAATTTCAAACAGCCAATGTTGCTCAATGACAATTAATTGGTTTCATTCATTGTGGTGGTTAATTTCTCTCTAGCCACTTGTATCAAATCCAAATAATACAGTCAGTGGAGCCGAGAGTTGAAGAGGCGATCCCAAAGCTTCTTAAAATATCCTGCTGCAGTAAAAATGCCCCTTCCAAAAGTTTTCATTGTAAAGTCTCCTTGTTGTGCTTATCAACCACCTCCAGAATAAAATTATTAAAAATTTGTTGAAAAAAAAATACCAGAACACAGATGCAAATCTTCGTTAAAACATTGACTGGTAAGACAATTACCTTGGAAGTCGAATCAAACGACACCATTGAAAATGTCAAGTCCAAGATCCAAGACAAGGAAGGTATCCCTCCAGATCAACAAAGATTGATTTTCGCTGGTAAGCAATTGGAAGATGGCAGAACCCTTTCTGACTACAATATCCAAAAGGAATCCACTCTCCACTTAGTCTTGAGACTTAGAGGTGGTAAGAAAAAGAAGAGAAAAAAGAAGAACTTCAAGTCACCAAAGAAGGCTGCCCACAAGCACAAGAACGTTCCACTTCTCCCAATTGAAAAGAAGTACTACGAAGTCACCAATGATGGTAAGGTTGTCTGTAATAGAAGAACCTGTCCAAAGTGTGGTCCTGGAGTTTTGATGGCTGCTCACGAAGATAGACAATATTGCGGTAAATGCCACCTCGTCTTCTTGATCCAAAAGAAGTAAACCCTCTAAAATAAATATATCGAAAAAACTTAAAATTCAACTCTTATCTTTAATGCTGCTAGCAACTGAATAAACTAATTTAATTAATTATTCGAGGTTTGTTATTCATTCTGCTTTTTGAAAACATCAAGAAGAAAAATGTCGAGTGATAAGCAACAAGATGAGCAACAATTAATCATCAAGGCCATTTGGGATTATAACGAAATATTTAAAAGGAGATTTGGTGATAGTATTGTTAATCATGTGTATTCAGGCTCGGAAACATGTGCTGTTCCTTCCACTGTAGACAATCCATCTGCGGAAAGCACTCATCACGATATTGCACAATTATTCTTCTACGCCTATTCAACATTGCCACAATTTACTGTTCCTCACAATGACAATACTACCTCTTCTCCAAATAACGTTGACAAAGAAGAGCTGAATAATCACTTCATCTTTGAAAAGGAAAGTTTAATTGAAAAGATTGCCCAGCACTACATTGTTTGTCTCTTCCTTCCTCATCAACTCAACAATAGCTTGGTCAACAGATTAAAAACCAAATTTCCAACCACTCACCAAAGCAAGGAGAGTGGCATGATATGGAAAACATCAGCTCCGAGCACTGAATTCTTCAACACACAGTTGAATACCATGAAGACGAAACATCAATGGAAATTGGATACAATGAGAAAATTCGATACGAGAGTATTCTGTCGATTGAATTGTGAAAGTTTACATAATAGCTCTCTAACCTCAGAGGATCAACTAAAAGACAAGACAATTATTCTTAAAACAGCCACTGACAATTTTGAGGATTTTTGTAAATATTTTGAGATTACAGTTGAATTTGCATCAGGAAATCGAATGAATCCCTCTCTTAGAAAGCATCTCTTTAATATTTACTATAGACAAGTTCAATTGGAGAGAGCTGGTGGTAAACCTCTGTCAGATTATGTAATTATTTTGGAAAATAATGAAATTGCCTCAGCTGGTATGATTCTTTATGGAAATGAGTTGGAGAGTAAAGATTACAAGGAGAATTCGAATTGTGCGGCCATCTACAGTATTGCCACAAGAGATCAATTTAGAGGAAGAGGTTATGCCACCATGATTGTTGTTACATTGATGGAATTGGCCAAGTTGAGGGGATATGATCATGTCATATTACATGCATCTGAGAGTGGTTGTAACTTGTATTCCAAGTTGGGATTTGAAAAGAAAATTGATATTGATGTTTGTACTATTGCACTATTTCTAGATGAGGAGAATTAGTTCAAATTTCTTATGAAATTTTCAATATGTGAAATTGCATCGGGAATAATGTCTAAATTATTTGATATCTGAATAGGAGCCAAATCGAATTTACAACAATGGTTTGCAATAATATCAATAAGGAAAATACATGGCTCATTCGAGAATTTCCCTAAAAATCTCTTGCAAATATCATGGTTCAAATCAGAAATTAGAGGAATATGATTCTGATGACCTAACCCATTCATATCTGAAATTGGCAACTTGCTCCAAATCATATGTGAATAATGAGAGTCAGAGCTCACAGATACCATCTCAGCACTCAATTGTCTAAACCTTTCCAATGACTGATTCAGTACTAGTAACAATCTGGACGAAAATGGCGTGAAATTTTGTGAATGAAACACTAAAAGCAAATACTTGCTAGGATTCTCAAAAAGGGACATTAAACTCGATTGACTTGGTAAATTTACACAATTTCCATGCACAACACAAGCTGTCTCTGTAGTAACATTCGATAGGTTAATCATTTTCTGCATTCGTGATTGATCAAAACTCAAAGAATCATCCATCATATCCTCCTCATCCTCAACAACAGTAGCATTCTTAATTTTCTTCAAGTGTGGAGCTATGAAACAATCGTCTTGTATTTTTTGGTGACAATTTTCATCGATCAAAAATTTGCCTAACATAGTTTCCGAGAGTTTTCTTTTCATTTTTTTTAAATGTTTTTTTTAGTAAACTTTCAACAACTTTAAATGAATTTAAAGTTCCCAACTAAATTGTTAAAATTCTTGTGCATAATGACCAAAATTTTTATTGATATTTATCTATTCAAGTACTGGAACATTGAACTGGAAAGAAATGATTTTGTAAACCAAACACAAAAAAAATGATCAACAGCAACAATACAAAGAATACTCAACCTCTGATAATCGGAGAAAAATCAATAGTATTGGTGGAGAAAGAAATTATGCAATATTGGAAGGAACACAAAATTGATGATTTATGGATAAGGGAGGCTCAGAGCAGAAATGATCAATTTTCATTGCTTGAAAAGCCTCCATTTGCTTCAGGGGTAGGTGAATTTAATAATTAGTATTTTGTGTGATGATGAATTTGATCAAAGAAACCTCATTGTGGACATTTGTTGAATACAACCATCAAAGATATGATTTCAAGATTTGCTTTTCAGTTTGGATATGGATTGGATTGCAGATTTGTGATGGATTGTCATGGATTGCCGATCGAATATGAATTTGAAAAGAAAAGAGGTAAATTGGCTTGGTCCTATTCTGAAATTGAAGAGCTTGGGATTGCAAAATATAATGAGGAATGTGAAAAGATTTCAATTGAGCATATGGATGAGTGGAAGAATGGATTGAGCAGAATGGGAAGATGGCTTGATTTTTCAAATACTTGCTCTACAAGTCAACCAAAATACATGGAAAATGTTTGGAAGATTTTTAAAGAGTTATGGGATAATAAGCTCATTTACAAGGATGTAAAATTATTACCATTCAGTATTGGATGTGCCAGCCCACTGTCAGATATTGAAGCGAAAAACCATTTGAACGTTGATTCACTTGAAATTACAATCTCAATTGAACTTATTTCTGATAAGGAAAAATTCAAAGGAACATTTTTAATGACATCATGTATGAATCCGTGTTGGAAACTACTTGCAAATGTTGCTCTCTGTGTAAATCCAGAAAAAGACTATGTAAAAATAATAACAGGAAAAGAATATATTCTTTCTAGATCATATTATGAGAAGCATTTCAAAGAGGAGAAGATTGTTGACACGTTCAAAGGACATGAATTGGTGGGTTTAACATATGTGCCAGCTTTTGAATATTACTCGAACAATGAAGGATCTTTTAGAATTATACCAAGTAGTGATCCTGTTACCGAGACAGGAACTGGAATTATTCATCTTGCACCTGGACTTTCACTCCAGGATTACAATATTTGTAATGAATTGAGATTTGTTGAGAGTTCTGAATTACCTTGTCCAATAGATGAAACCGGGAAGTGTCTATTGAAGGGCTCAGAGTTTGAAGGAAAATATGTAGATCATCTTTCAAATCAACTGGTTAAAAACCTCACATTGAGGTCAATGTTACTGAAAAAGGAGAAAAGAACTAGTTATCAAAATTCATGTTGGATATCAGGGAGAACTCTCATTTACAAAGCAGTTGAAGGATGGTTCCTTGATATGAAATCTATCAATACAAAGTATTTGGAAAATTGTAAAAATGTGAAATGGTTTCCTGAGAATATAGCTAACAGATTTTCAAATAATCAATACGAGTTCTGGCTCATATCCAAATCAAGATATTGGGGAACACCTCTGCCAATTTGGATGAGTGAAGATGGTGAAGAAATTATTGTGGTGGAATCCATAGAAGAATTGGAGAAATTGACTGGTAAAAGCGGACTTGAAAATATTCACAGAGAGTTCATAGACCACTTGACAATCCCAAGTCCAACAAGAGAACATGTAATTCTCAAAAGAGTACCCTATGTGTTTGACGGCTGGTTTGAATCTGGATGTTTCCATTTGCTGATATTCAATCTGAAAAAAGGTTGACTGGTAATCTAGCTACTGAGGGAATGAATCAAAGTAACGGATGGCTTCATGCCATGCAAGTTATTGGAGCTGCATTAGATCAAAAACAACCATTAGAGGCTGCTCTTGTCACTGGACTTGTGCAAGATTGTAAACACAAAAACAAGCACTTTTCATTTCCTGAAGATTTAAGTTGTTATGGTTCGGATGCTCTCAGACTTTATTTACTATCATCTGAAGCAGTTTGTGGAGGGGTTTTGAATGTCACAGATGCTGGAATCGCTGCAGTGTTTAGTAAGAATATTTTACCACTTTACAAAATCGCACACAAGTTGGCTGATTGTATTGAAACAAATTCAATAGAGTTGGGAGAAGTAATGGAAAATGATCAACAAACAAGCGACATTTTTGACAGATTTATTACATCCAGAGGAAATTCTACAAATTTGTTGAGGAAAACTTCTCTCTACTCAAAGTTTCTGATATCGTGAAGAGAATACTTGAATATGAACAGGATTTGGTTTATTTTTTTATTCAAAAGAAGAAATATTTATCAACCAATATTTCAAAAGAAGATAGATTATCATTGCTAACAATTCTTCTTAAGAATTTGAATATTCTGATTCACTTGATGGCACCGCTTACGCCGTTTCTAGCAGAGTATCTCTTTAAACTATTGGATAAAGGAACAAAAGGTTCAATACATTTACAAAGCAAATTACACTTTGAAAGCGTAATAGATTTGGATTTGGACGAAATTATTAGTTTATTTTATGACATTACCAACAATTCTTCACTAGTTAGAAAAATGTTCAACATTTCAAAAGTTACCTCAATTTCGAAATGTGTAATATTTGTTTTAGATGAAAGTCTGGTAGGGAAATTACGAACTATCTCAACTAATCTAAAGGATCAAATCAATTGTAGAGAGATTGAAATAACCAACAAGAATGAGGATGTAAATCTTGTTGCAATTCCAAATATGGCTTCTCTTGGTAGAAGGTTTGCTAGAAAAATTAAAGTTGTCTTTCCACAGTTACAAATGTTGACAAAAAGAGATCTGATTTCCTTCCTTGAATGTGGCCATGTTACTGTTTGTGATGAGGTCATCAGTAAAGGAGAATTAGAGGTAGCTCTAAGACTTGAAAGGTCTGTTATTGGAAAAGAGTTTGATGGTTATGCAATAATTTTCAAATAGTAAAAATAACAGTAAATTATAGTAACCCCAAATTCGTAAGCTCCTTTTGCAAATTATTTAAAAGTATTGGCTTGTATATCACACTATCAAACCCTGCTTGACAAAGCATTTCCTTAGTTTCCCAAATATTGGCTGTGACAGCAACAATTAGAGTGTTAGATTTTGTAGTATGATTTCTAATGAGTTCGCAAGACTCTTTACCAGATACGAATGGCATTAAAAGATCCATAAATATTATTCTGTACTTGGTTGGATTCTCCTTAAACTTTTCAAATGCAACAAGGCCATTCTCTGCCACATCAATTTCATCAAATCCAACCATTTTCAACATTTTTTGAAGAACTTTCCTGTTAATTTCATTGTCGTCAACTACTAGAGCATAATTTGAGTTATTGGATGGCGAAGATATCTCAGTTATTTCTTGAGGTAACGCCTCAACTTTTTCATTTTCAATAAAGTGTAAAGAATGTGAATTTTCTAATTTTCCTAACATGATTATCATGTTATCAATTAAAAGACTCAACAAATCTCCAATTCTTAGCGGTCTTGTTAGGTACCTAAGGTTAGTTGTTCTTTTAGAGAAACCTCTGTTAGAAAGAGGAATAAATATTGTTCTAGATTGGTATGATTCGAATTGTTTTTGAATTGAATCATTCATCTCATCAGAGTAAATGGTAATTAGCAACTTGTTTACATCAGTATTGCTAATATCAATACTTTGAGAGTTATCATATTCATAGATTGGAGAATCCTCAAAAATGTAACGAAGATAATCTGTCAATACTCTTCTCAAGCAAATGTTCGAGTCGACAATATAGATGGAAACAGTTGGAATGTTCATATTCTTCAAGGTTAGTAGTTGGTCATGAACAGATTTTTTGGAAAAGTCTGTCTCAATTTTCTCAGAACATTTCACAAGAGGTAAAAGGATTGAGATGTTTGTTCCATTTCCAACTTCACTTTCTACGCCAATTTTCCCGTGCATAACATCACAAAATCTCTTGCAAATAGATAACCCCAATCCGTTACGATCTGAAAAGCTAGAGTTGGCAATTTCCTTTTGGTTTTCATACTTGGAGTAGTATTGTTCAAAGCTTGGTGAGGAGTTTTCAATAGTCCTGAAGGGTTTGAACAGAGTTTTCATTGAATTGAGTGAAATTCCAAGACCAGTATCGTTACAATTAATCTTGAGAAAGACAACTTCCTCCTCTTCGTTTCCTAGTGTGAGATTATCTCGAATGGATTTTAGAGCTTTTTCATCTAAACCAAACTTGGCAAAATCAGTATCTTTGCAAAGATCGCATGTAATCATAACATATCCCTTCTTTGTGTACTTGATACTGTTTGAAATGATGTTCATCAAAACTTGAGAAATCTTAACCTGATCTCCTCTAAATAATAATGGCACTTTTTCAAAATCAAAAAATGATTGAATAGAAATCCCCTTATCGTAAGCCAATGTGTAAAATACTGAAGTCATTGTTTCCAACAATTCAAGCATGTCAAAGTTTTGGAAATTCAACTTGACTTGACCCAGTTCTAAATTGCTTAGTTGTAATGATCTAGAAAATATGTTTAAAAGCAGTATGGAGTTATTGTAAATATCATCAATTAATTCTACAGAGCTTTGATTGGATGCAATTATTGTATTCGCATCAATACTATGGTCTATTGATAAATCTTCAAGGCATTCAGAGGAAGTGAGAATTGAACTGGGAAGGGAATTCTTTCGTCTTCTCATTTTGAATGAGCTTGATTTTCTTAGTGAGGATTCTGTGAATCTGTTTAATCTTTCAGCTTCATGTTTTAATATTTGAATGGATCCAACCTGTTAGAAATATACATTGATCAATGAAATCCAATTATTGTAAAATTCTTAAAGACTACTTACCACACCATGTAAAGGATTTCTCACTTCATGTGAGAGATTACCAATAAACTTTGTCTTGGAGGCATTCAAAACCTTTTCTTTCATAATTTCCATTTGTTGTCGGAAGATCTTTTCATACTGCTTTTCAGATACATCTGAAAACATAAATCCACTCGCTGTTACAATAATTTGCATAACACAAATTTCAGTCATTTTGATGAATTTTCTAGAATTCAAACATGCAAATCCATTCAACACTGGTGCCATTCGTTCAAGTCCATTTCCAAATATTTCTCCAGTATCTGCTCTAAATTCCATCAACAGATAAGAAAAGTATAGTGAGCATTGAGTGGTTGCCAAAATGAGTAAACAGTTAAATAATGTAGACCACTTTTTAAAGTATAGCGAGTTAGATGTAATAACTATAAGGTAGGTATTAATTCCCCAAAGAGGAAAATTAGGGCCGTAATAAATCTGAAATTATTACCATCATGATCAAACTCTTCGAATATAATCAAAAATACTCACCTGAAGTACAATTCTATTAGCACACGAAAAGAGTGTCATGAACATATTCAGGGCCTCTTTCTTAGCCATTGGTATATTCCTTTCGATATTCCTAATCACCAGCGAATTAAGGATGAACTCTGCTCCTATCAATACATAAAATACAAATCTAGTTTGAGTAACTCCATCAATATATATAAATCCCAAACTTCCAACCATTAAAAAGTAGAATAAATAAACAAATTTAAGTCTCATTCCCATCGAATTCTTTCTATATTCAAAATTGTCGTCTTCTCTATTAAAGTAATGAAATATTCGGTCCATGAAGGACATGTTAGCTGTGCTTGATGCTCTTTGTCTTGTTGGTGGTGGTGCAGTGGTTGTATCGTCTCCCTCTGGCACCAAATAAAACGATGATTTAGATGTTGGTAGTGATGCTTTTTTCGAATCAAACCAAACCGAAGAGATTTCATCTTCTTTGGATTCCGAAACTGTTGAGGATATAGGATGTTGAAAGCTTACACTCATCTTGTGATCCAATTTTCTTAAAAGACAAGCTTCCGATTATAGTTTTTATAACAACTCGTATTATCTACAAATAGAGAAGTTTTCGTGTTGCAGCCTATTAAAATAATATCGTCTCTGCTATTTTCCACTATATATAAAATTTAATATTGCAATCTATTACTTGTATTATATACACTCCCCAAACAAATCTCAACGCTACTGTTGTGGGTGATGATGATGCAGTAAAAAACTGAGGAGATAGTCAGAGAGAATCTAATTTTTTTCTACAGGGAATATTGTATATTATGACGACAGTTTTGGAGAGGCGAGATTGTCATTTACGATTGTGCGGCAACTTATTTGAGCAATCCATTTTGAATAAATTCTTTAATGGATGTGTTCGGTTATCATTCCGTTGGCCTATAAGATATATGTGGTACAGCTGGAGGTGGTTCAATAAGGGTTTGGAGTGTTTTGGTGTTCGAATGAATGAAGAGTATGGAAAGGAGACTGTGACAGTTCATAATAATGTTCAACTAACTCTACTTCAATAATTAGAACTATGAAAGCAACTCCAATAATTAGAATTAAGGAAAGAGGACAGAATGTAATATTGAGAGTTAAAATAATAAAACACATATTGAGATGATGTTTACTTTTTAATTTCCCACTTGTAGGATTGAGATGCCTTAGCAACCAAGATGGAGAGTTCTTCTTGTGAGATTTCATCCTTATTGGTTGTGAAAAAGGTAGTGTGATAAGGTTGTAATAAAGCTTCAACTTGACCCTTGTGAGTGGAGACACGTCCCTTCAACATTGGATGAACATTATCACCCAACATGTGAACAAAGACGAATTTAACAGTTTCAGAATCATCAATAATTTCAGTGACACGAACCAATCCGAAATAGACACCAGTTGGTCCCCAAGAATCCTTCATTTCATCAACACCACCTTCACCCTTTCCTAACAAGGTAAGTTTAGTCTTTGAATTTGGTGCATAAGTAATAGACATCCAATTGGTAGCATCTCCATCATTTCTGACAGATCTAATTGCTTCTTGAATGGAATCAATATTATCAAATTCAACACCACCAGAAACACCTCCACCACTTGAGAGAGGAGTACTTGGTCTTGGACTGCTACTCACTGGTCTAGTTGTAGTGGAGGCAGAACGAACAGGGGATGATGTGGCAGTGCTTGTAGTTGGTGAGCTTGTACCAACTGTTGATGAAGATGATGATTGTTGTTGTAACTTGACGTGGGAATCCAATCTACGTTGTCTTTCTTCATTATCTCTTTGAATCTTTTCACCTTCGTGTTTTTCCATAACATTGGAACGACTCATTGATGCCTTACCAACCAATTCTTCAATAACATGTTGTGAAATTTCATCTTGTGAGGTAATGTACATATCAACGTGATATGGCTTGAATTTGGTAGTAATATCACCAACTTGAGGTGTAATACCAGCACGAAGGAGTGGCTTTAAATCATCACCAACAAATTTAACAAAGGCAAATTTAATGGTCAATGAGGAATCAATCATTTCTTCAATACGAGCCAAACCATAATAGGCATTGGTTGCTTTGAATTGTTCTTTCATTTCATCAACACCACCTTCACCTTTGGCTTTAAGTTCCAAAACCTTGACAGCTCCATCAACATAACCACAAACCATCCAATTAGTTGGTGTTTGATCGGATCTGACATCAGCAATGGCGTCAGCGATGGCTGACCATTCAGAGAAGAGTTGACTGGACATTTTGGAATAGTTTTTTAACTATTGCGTTTTAGAGTATGTGTTTGTGGGGAGTATTCACAAAGAGATTGTCTCTTGGATTTTTTTTCTTGTTGATTTGATAAATATTAAAAGTGACGTTTGACTGTCTGATGGGCTGATAAATTGAACATACCAATCAACAACAAAAATGCAATTGCCTTTACAATTCAATTACAGTGACTTTTTATTCGAAAGTTACATCTATGGTAACATGTTGATAGTATTCGTCATTTGTTTCCTGGTTATCTTTACAAATGATCAAGTAGATTACATGTAATTTAGAGGCATAATTATTTACAGTGATTTTTTACACAAAGGTTAAATCTTGGAAAGGATTGGATGAGGAAAGTAATTGTTCTTTGAGTTTTTGTAACATTCTCTTCTTGGCAGCATTCTTCTTTTGATTTGGTTTGAAAGCTATAACAAAATTGTGTAGACAATGAACTGAAATGCTAAATTCTTGGCATTGAGCTAATCTGGCAAGAGTTCTTAATTTACGTTCATCTTCTTCAGTTCCTGTCAATCCCATTTGAGTAATGAATGAGTCCAATGTTAGAGGTTGTAAGAGTTTCTCATTAAGCGTCTGGCTGTTTTCAAAATCTCTGTCTGAGATGAGAAGAATATCATCATCTCTTGTTCTTAAAGTAATGGCATTGAATCTAAGTGAAGGTACCATTTGAACGATTGTTCCTGGTTCAAATTCACTCACAGTCAATGCTCTTTCAGCTGAAGATACCCAAATATTTCCTTCTCTAGTTAAAATTGCAAACAAATCTTCGTAGCAAATAAAATCTGAGATGGTCTCTTGTCGAATCATTGAAGAGTCGATTTTATGGAGACCTGATCTACTCAGAGGATAGGTTCCATAGGTCAGTAAAATACCATCCGATAGTAAAAAATGGCTTGAACCATATCCTGAGAGTGCTTTCTTAATGAATCTTCCAGAGCCTATATCCTGACACATTTGCTTATTCAAAGTGAACAGTGAAGTGGCAGCATAGTCATAGTTAACATGACGGAAAGTTTCTCCAGATCCATAGACAAATTGCTGATTTGTGTGAATATCTTTCGAGACAATAATTGAGTTACAGCCCTAAAAATATAATTACAAATTTTAAAATCATTAGATATTTTGACGAAGCAAATGATACTCACCCCTGTACAAATATGCGTAATTTCCTGTCCTTCTGGCAAGAAGAGTGTATGATTTCCTTCAATATCGAATATAACAGGTCTTGCTTCAGCAATACTACTAGTACTTTCTCCAACAGAGCAACATCCAACATTATTCCATCCACTTCCGAGCACTAGTTCCATATTATATTCTCCTCTAGTAATAATATGAAAGAATGAATAATTGTTCAAAGTCCAAACTTGATTTGATGCCTTGGCTATAATATCCTTGTCCTTCTTTAATTTTGCCAAAAAATCACTCTCCTTCAAATCCAATTTGACTTTTTGATTTGGTGTCAACTCTGAACACTGTCCATAATCATTTTCCAATGTGCCATACAAATTATGTTTTACATTGACAATATATTCCTTGTTGGGAATGAAATTTTCATAAGGATCATCCTCCAACCACACAAACAAATGTTGTGAGCCTCCAATAAAATCCTTGATTTCTACTCTTCCCTCCAATTTCTTCAGAAAATCAACACTGACAAATTTCTTTGTAGCCACAGAAAATAAGTGGCAAGGATCCGAATAAATACTCGAAAGATTGCAATATTGAGGATCGGAAAGAGTACTTGATGATTGTTGGTCTGTCATGACAATAGAAGATGAATTTGTACGTGGTCGTTGTTTTGTTTTGATCACCTTTGATGATTTTGACCCCATTATTACTCCATCAAATACTGTGTACTGATGGAACTTTGAAAATCTGTTGCTGTTCAAAAAGCGAGAAACGTTCAAATCAATTTGAATATTTTTTTTAAAGTTTTAAATAGAAAAAGTTCTTTGCTTTTCAATTTTAATTTGATCAGAGGAAAGAGTGAGTTGGGAGACTTAAAGAAAATGAAAGCAGCTCTCTTCCTCTAGTCAACAGGCTACCCCACCAAATTCTCCTCCCGCTCAACAAATTTGCTCCACCAACACCTAATAAGAAATTTAAGCCAAACAAAAAAATCAGAGTGGAGATGCGGGGTATCGATCCCCGTACCTCTTCCATGCTAAAGAAGCGCTCTACCATGTGAGCTACATCCCCTTACATTTCATGTTCAATGGTATCCTTACATGTTCATTATAGACAGCATCCTTAATACATTTCCTTAATGTTTTTTATTAATAAACCAGATTATGAGGGAAGTATAAGAGGGAGGTTACTTTGAACAGGTCTATTTTTGACAATTGCCTTGAATTTTGTTAAAAGCAAGTGACAGGTATTGATGGACCTTCCTCCTTTCCAATATTGGCAACTTGAATCAAATCACAATCAGCTATTTAACGTCCTCACAGTATTCACTCAACGCATCAACAACAACACAAAAAAAACAAGCAAAATGATTATGCAAGAATTCGAAACTAGAAGAAATCAAACTATTCCAAAGTCATCAGTCTTTGATAACGTTCCAATTCTCGTTCCAACTCGTAAACCAGCAACTCTCACTCAACAACAAACCAGTTTCTCCACTTCAACAGCTCCTCAATTCTCTTTTGACGAAACTCCAATTGCTGTTTCTAATAAGAAACCACAAGGTCCATTCCCATATTTGAGGAGAAAATCCATCAGAGTTGATTTGGTTTTGAAGCAACAACAAGAACAAGCCAAGAAGAATTCTGCCAAGAAGTCTACCAAGAAAGTTTCCAATAATGAGTTGGAAACATTGAGAAAGGAAAAGAAAGCTCTCAAGGAAGAAAATTCCATCTTGAAGGGTAGATTGATGCAAATGGAACTCTTGTTCAAAGAATTAATCAGAAATCCTTCCACCAAAATTGTAAAAAATCAAGAATGTCAAACTGAATCCAAGTCAACCAACACTTCCAGCTGCCAAACTGAAACAATTCAAAAGAAACAAACATTTTCTGAATGTTCCAAATGCCACAAATGCATCAGATCATCCTATTTGAAGCATCACCAAAGATTCTGTGGAAATACCAACTTGAAGAAATTGTTGAGTGAAAAGGATTTGAAGAAATTGCAAATTATTAGAATGAATTCTTCCTCCTCATCAGCAACTCAAGCACCAAAGAATAATTGGAGAAAGACAAGACAAGAATTCTTGAATCAAATCAAGAAGGACAAATTGAGACAATGTACTATTCAAGTTATTCTTCCAAAGAAGAGAATTAATAAATATTAAACAATTTCTGTAAACTTATTGGACTTTCGAATAGATATTTCAAAAGAATTACCGAAAGTGCTAAGATTGTTTGTGAGCTAACTTGTTTATTTAAACACCCTTAGTGGACTTTCCAATATGTTTAGCAGCATTAACAACACCCAATGGTCTCTCATAAACAACTTGATTAGCAACAGCAGTTGGAATCCATCCATTAGGATTAGCTTGACCCAAAAAGACAACGTGCAAATCATCTCCCTCTTCAATCATCTTGAAATATGAAAAGATATTAGTTGCTCTAACACCAACTGGAGTGCACTTATCTTCTGGATATAAACCATCAATGGAAGTGGTAAGGTAAGTTGTGACATTTCCTTCGGTTTTGTGATGTTCAACATAGAGGAAATCACGTTCAGAGACCATCATGGATGGAGAGGTGACGACATAGTGTCTGACAGTGTATTTGCCATTGTCTTGGTTGAAGGTTTCTAATACTTGCAATGATTTAGTTTTGGCATCGAATTGCTTTCTGACATTTTGATCGGTGACTTCAAGAACAGCAATTAATTCAGAAGCTTTGCAATTTAAAACAATGCACTATTTGTAAATTAATTTTGTGATGATCATCAAGTTATCGGAAAGATCATTAAATATATTCGAAACTGCTAACAAATAAACCTACCTCTCCTTTAATAATAGTACCATCAGTATGTTCACAATAAGTAATAGTAGTTTCACCAGTGCTGTATGCAGTAAACTTTTCTGGTGTCTTTTCATAGGATTGAGCAAGTGTAACTGCTTCTTCCCACTTATTTGTAATGGCTTGATAATCGATGGACATTTTGTGGATATGATAATATGTTGTTTTGTTTTTTTGATGAATTGTAATAACCAATTGGATCCTTCCATGATCTTGTTTGAATTTGAAGGAGATAACGTAATGACGGATTTCATACTTGTTTGAGAAATGATCGAGATACAGCACAAACACCTAATTTGTATCGGGATCAACACTGTATACAATTAAATTCTCTTCTACTTGCACATCGAATAGGTTCTAAGAGAAAATGAAAATAAGGAACACTTCTGACGATGCAATGTAAAAAAAATATTCATCAATTCACAAATTAAATTGTTATTTATTAAGATTATAGCCATCACGTGATCGAATGAATCTAGTACGGAACAAATCTCCTCATTCAATTACATGAAATAGTAGGAGTGGTAATAATTATTAATAGTGGCATTATTAATGAGATAAAAATTTGGAAAGAGGATAGCATTGAGTATCTTGTTTTTTGGAGAGAGTGATGGTAATATCGGACAAGGAATAAGGATACTCCAAATCCTTAACTTCTGATGTGAGGGAGTAGGTCTTTCCTGTTCCGAGTACATTCTTTGGTTTTGCAAATGTTTTTACATAGAATTCACGCTTACTGCTGTACTTGTTTTCCAAATGATAACCTTGAGATTTGAATGGATCTAATAGACCAATTACTTCATCACCATTTGAGCTATCCCAATCACATTTGATAAAGAAGTAATCCTCAATCATGTAGATGGTTTGAGGACCATCATCACAAATGACGTTTTTGAGGACCTTCTTGGCTTCTTGATAACTGAATGATCCAGTCCATCCATGATTCCTTGTGACATCACCTTCCTTTGTTTCCAACACTGTTGAAAGTTGAGAGATTCCAATTTGAATATTTGAGATATCTGAAGGAATTAATTGTTTCTTCAATTTGATTTGTCTGTAAACCTTCAATCCATTCAAAGTATCAGGCAATGAACTGAAATGATTCTTCACAATAGAGTTGTGTTCAGGAATGACAAATTCGGCCAATCCTGCTCTCTCTTGCATTGTATCATAGATGGATAGGGATAAATTCTTTCCGTATTTAGCTCTCAAATAATAACCAGTGGATGGAATTTTAACCAAGATTTGCTTCTTGGCAGAGTCAACAATAGTTTCCTCATTCTTTGATTTTACACTTTCAACCAGTTGTTCAAAAGATGGTGAAAGACACGAAGAGAATTTGATGAGACAATCTTCACCTTTTCTTTGTGGAGAAAAACCCTTTTCACACTCCAACTTCCATGTATTCTTTCTGCACGGAGTTAACAAATTTACAAAGGAAATTCTACAGTGGCAGACAAAATCATTCTGGCCCACCTTGTCATGATCCATAATCACAACAATTACATCTCTACTAGTGTCAGGATTATGAACTATTGGACAAGTAAATTTCCACTTGGGATCATAACTGTTTTTCACAACAGAGGTCTTGAATTCGGTATAGAGTCCACCAGAAATTGGTATCTTTACTAATGCGTAGCCATCGATCGAACCAATGGTATCAGCTTTCGGAAGATTGCTGGCAGAGTGCAGTTTAAAGTGAAACATTTTTTTTTGATTGTTAACAGTGACAAGACATGATTGGTGATCTGAAACAATTGTTTAACAACAACAAATCACCTTAATCATTCATCGTTTGCTGATAGATAATTGTACATGTTACAATTAGTCAGTCAACCAAGTAATTTCTGAAATTTAACATTCAAAAAAAATGGTTAACGAGCTTCCACAAGATATATGGGTAGTTATTTTGCAATTTTTCACTCTTGATGAATTGCTACGGACTTCAACAATTAGCAATTTGCCTCCACTACCAAACAATCAACAAGAGAAAATTAAATTGTTCGGCATTTCTAAAAGTGTATTTTCAGCACTGATAGGATGCGATATTGCAGAATTTAATTCACAAAATAATCGTGATGGAGGATTATTCTACAGATTATTGAATGAAAAGTTAACAATTAGACAATTAGATTTGGTCATTGATCGAATTGTAAATAGATCTGTTTTTGTGAATAATGAGAATGATTATGATGAGGAAAATAACTCACACAATTATAAGCCACTTTTGGAAACTCAAAGAAATACTGGTAACGGAAGAAGAATGAGGGTAAGAAGACATTACTACACTAGAAGTCGATTAAACGTCCTTTCCAATGGTAGCAGTATGAGTAAATTGAGAGGTGAGCTGAGAAAGTTGATTGCTAAATGCAATGAGCAATTTCCTCATATTTATGAAGAGTATAGAGATAGAATTGATAGAGCATTGAAACAATCAATCAAAATATGTACATTAGTTGAAAAGCCAATTGATAATCCAGATGAAATTACTTATGAGGACAACTCAATGCGTAGGCCCAATAAGCCATCTTTTTGGGATGAAGAAAAGAGAAGAAAATCCATAGAAATCAATTTAAGAAATCCGAAAATTCTCAAAGATCACCAATGGAGAGTTCAATGGGCTTTTGATTATTCGAATCATCTTCGTCATGAGTTGGAATTTCATTCTACTTATTTGAGAATTTACTATTCGTTACTATTTAAAGGCAACGTTCAACTAACTGAAGACACGTTTAACTCTTACATGGACTTTTTAGAAAAAACACTAGCAATAGTCTTTAAATTTGATCAAACCTTTCAAAAAAAGTTCTTTACAGAAAGAAACTTGTTCAAAAAGAAAAAATCTAGATATATTACTTATAACGTTCAACCTGCAAATCAGTGCAAAGTCGATTTCATTTACCAATCTATATCATGTCTAGCAAAAGGTTATAAAGGTCACCATTATAGTTTTGATGAACGAACATTGTCAGATGAAACCAAACAAAAAGTCTTCAAAATTATTGAACTATTGATGGACACCTATACAAAATATTATGGAAATGACACATCTCAAGAATATTGCTATGGAAGATCTATTTATGACAAGTTAAACAGATTTGATAAGATATTTCAAAAATATACTAGCAACAATGAGATTAACAATCTTCCAAAACACCTCCAACAATCATTTTTATTCTCTTGTATTAATTATTCACCTTTTGTTCCAGTTGACTTGATCAAATCATTAGATTTCCCTTTATGTATAGAAAGGACCTACAAATCGACTGGAACCACCGAAACAGTATCCTTATGTTCTTATATTATTCTTCATAATTATATGTGGAATGAGGAAACTACGTTTGGTTACAAAGAATGGCTAGAACTATTGATTGACAAATTTGGTAAAGAACAGGTTGTCGATTCGCTCAAGCCATCAAACTTGTATAGTGTTAGCAGTATGTTCCATTACAATAATTTGTGTACAATATTAGGAGAAAAATTTATGGAAATGGCTAAAGAAGCTGAAAAAGAGCTCAGTACAAGTTGGAATAATGCAGAGGAAGAAGTGCTCTCTGAATATTCCGAGACAAGTTATTTATAAAAAGTATTCAGAGATTTCACAACTTTACAAAAAATTGGTAGTGCTGTTTATTATCTTGTACAACGAATCTATTCAGATTCTATATTCGTTGTTGATACTCAGATCAGCTGCTAAACTTTACAAAAAAAAAATGATTGAAAAGCCAACACTGAGCATTGTGTTTCTTGGTCGCGTTGATTCTGGTAAATCGACATTGGCTGGACGATTGCTACATTCTCTCGGAACGGTTAATGATTCGATCATTGAAAGATTGCAAGTTGAATCGAGAGAATTTGGATTTGCCAAAACTCACTATGCTAATGTTCTGTCCAGAACAAGAGAAGAAACAAGGAGAGGAAGAAGTATACATTTAGCCTATAGCAGGGCTGAGACAAAACATTTTCATATTAATATTATTGATGCTCCAGGTAATTATTAGAAATTATTGGAAATTTACTTAGAAATTGAAAGCTGCTCCGTTTGTAAAAAGTATGATTAGAGGAATATCACAAGCAAATGTTGGAATTATTGTCTTGGATGCCGAATCTGGTTCTTTGGAACAACAAACCGTTAAGGAGATATTATTGACTACTCAAAGTTTAGGAGAGTTTCAATTGATTTTTTGTGTAAACAAGATGGATAGCATGTTTGTTGCAAACTCGGAAACAAAATTTAAGGAAATTCAAAATAGTGAAATGAGTAAAATTTACAAGATGCATGGATACAAGGGAGATCCTTTGTTGATACCAGTTTCTGCTTGGACAGGTGATAATGTTGTGGATTGTTGCGATATGAAATGGTATAAGGGTCCAACACTTTTGGATGCTATCAATTCACTAAAGATACCAACATACCTTGAAGATAAACCACTTAGAATTCCAATTTCAAAGGTTTACAACAAGCGTGGCAAACCAATTGTGTTTGGAAAAATTGAATCAGGAATATTGAAATTAGACTCAAAACTCAGATGTACACCCAACAAGAAAGTTCCCCATGTTACCATTGAATCCATTGAAATTTTTAGGGAACGTGTCAGTGAAGCAAAAGCAGGTCAGTTTGTAACAATCAAACTGCAAAATGTGCGCCGTTCAGATGTAAAGTCTGGAATGGTATTGTCAGACAGTAGAAATGATCCTGCTCGAGAAGTGCTATGTTTCAAGGCAGAGATTATCGTATTGAAACGAACAGCAATCAAGATTGGTTACAAACCCACTTTTCACTGCCACTCACTACAAACCAGATGTCAATTCATACAGTTTTATGAATGCTCCAAAATGCCATTAAAGACTGAAAGGAAAGAAAACCCATCAGAACTTAGACGTGGCCAGGTTGCTCGTGTTTTACTGAAACCTGACAATCCAATCTCTCTTGAAACATTACAAAATATTCCTAAACTTGGAAAGTTTATAATGAGGGATAATGGTTGTGTGTGTGTAGTTGGTATTGTCAAAGATATCACATTCGTTGATGAACATATATGTTAAACTTCAAATATGGTTAAAATTTCACAAATCTCAAATCATTTTGTTTTCATTTCAAAGACTGAGGCAAAGCGATAACGGCAAATAAAATTGATTAAGTGCTGAACATTAGTTTATGGTTATTAGAATCAAACATGGATTGGCATGGATAACTTTTACGACAATAACACCTTAATCATCATCATCTTGCATTAATGGATGAGGATAAGGTCCTCAAACATTGCATTTCTTCTGGACAAATACTCAATATGGTTAGTAGTCCATCTTTATCCTATGGCATTTTCAATTCGCGTTTCGGAAGTAATATGACCTTGTTCGGTTTTATAGTTTTCTAAAACCCCTCTTTCATAGTTTTTTAAATTTCCCTCGTAAAAAGTTTGCACGTCCTCTCGGTTAGAAAATGCAAGATTCTCTTCATAGGTCGTTTAGAAAATTATTTGTCCTACTTCGATTAAATCGATGAGAGCATAGTTATGTGCTATTCTCAGTTGTTTTGATGCGCATTAGAGGGTTTTATTATTGAGGAAGAGAAGGTATCGAAATATATTGAATGTTGTAGATAACATGGATATCATCTCTTTTCAATAATTGTCAACTAATATTGAGGTTTTTTTATTCTTCCTGCAGTCAATCGTAGGAAGAATCCACAAAAGAATCGAGGCTTCTAACTGTTTTCACTTGCTTCTGCAGGACACAATTTACAACTGCCTCAGTTATGGGACTGTTTACCAATTTGTACTGATTGTCGTGACTCTCTTTTCGCACATTAGATGAAACATTTAAATCAAAAGCGAAGATAGAACAACTCCAATATTCAAATTGAAAAAAAACAAACAACAACAAGTGCTTAATCAGCTCGTGTGTTCATATTGTATATATAATCATCAACATTTAATTTATTAGTAAACATAACAGACTCGAGAGAATTTCAACATGCCAGCTCAAAGTGATAATCCTGAAAATAAGGAAGAAGTGCAACAACCAACAAGAAGACAACGTATCATTAGGAGAAGAAAAAGAGATGACACTTCAAAGAAATCAAAGAAACAACAACCAGTTGGTGATGAAATCAAAGATGACAGAGAACCAAAGATTGGTTTCTTCTCTCATTTACACATGTTGAGAATTTTTGGATGGAATTGTTTACTGATCGCTATTGGATGTATTGGTGCAATGGCTTATGGTTTGATTCCTATTAGTATGTAGTAATAGTATTCGAATTTCAAATAGTATTAACCTTATTCTAGTTGTTCAATATATTTTGGGAGATTTGATTGACAGTTTTGCAAATGCCACATCATCAACCTTAACAACAGAACAGAAAACAGCTCTTGCTTATGAAGCAGTTGACGATCTCTGTAAAAAGCTCACTATTCTTACATTCTGTGGTATGGCTGCTTTCGGTATGCAACATTTCTTCTTGCAATTGTCAAATGCCAGATTGGGAACTTCAATGAGAAGAGCTTACATGTCAGCATTGGCTAAACAAGAAATGAGTTTCTTCGATATTAAGAAGATTGGTAGTGTCACTGTAGTTCTCAGTGAAGATATTCCAAAGATTCAAGATGTTTACACAAACGAATTCTTCATTTTCATGCAAGAAATCATTCAATTTATTGTTGGTTTCATTTTGAGTATGACTGTCAATTGGAGAATGGCTCTCATTCTTGTCAGTACCTCACCACTTACTTTCTGTTCTCACATACAATGTC